CGTTCTTCTGCTGAGGCTGAATACCGTGCTATGGCTAGCACTGTTAGTGAAGTGTTGTGGCTTCGTTGGCTTCTTCGTGACTTGGGTGTCGTATTCACTACTCCCACTACCTTGTTCTGTGACAACCAAGCTGCTCTCCATATCGCTGCTAATCCTGTTTTCCACGAACGGACTAAGCACGTTGAAATGGATTGCCATTTTGTTCGCGAACGTGTCCAGTCACGCGAGATTGCCCCGGCGAAGATTCCCACCTTGGAGCAGCCCGCCGACCTGTTCACGAAGGGATTGAGTGTTGATCAGTTTCATCATCTCTTCGTCAAGCTCGGACTTCTTGACATTCACTCCTTCGCTTGAGGGGGCGTGTTGTGATCCCTACGTATTATGTATTATATGTAGGGGTCATTTAGTATTTTACCAACTCCAGTTACGTGTTGAGGAGTTGGGATTTTAGTTTTGGTTTTCGGATGTATATAGGGCAAAAGGCATGCAGCCGCCGAACCCTAGAACAAGAACATCATCATAATAATTTTGATCTCTCTGAGAGCTCCAAGCTCTCCGTGGACTAGTCTCGTTCATGTTGAACGGGGAAACCACGTAAATCCTTGTGTCGTTTACTTCCGCGTTACTCGAATTTTACATTTGCCATATCTAGCTTTACCGCAAAATACCCTCGCTTGATTCTCTTATCAATCTTCTTCATAGCATGGAAACATTCAAAAGCCGCTAGAGAGTTATCATGGATTGAGCGCCCCAGAACGAATGCGCTCCGAGTTTCTGAGATGATGTTAGGGAGTATAATCATCAGCCTGTTTGCCACCACCTTCTACAGGATCTTGTAAAGGATGTTACATAGGCTTATTGGCCTGTAGTCCTTTGCTGCTTTTGGGCGTTTTACCTTGGGGATGAGGTATAACAGTGTACGATTTAGTTGGCGTGGAATATTAACAGTTTGTAGATAGTGTAGCAGCTCCTCCGTACGTAACTTGCTTCCCCACCGTATCCCAATGTTCCTTGTAGAAAATTGCAGGGAATCCATCCTCTCCCAGGGCTTTCATAGACCCTAGCTATCTGACGTAATGCCCCTTCAATCTCAACCACAGTGAAAGGTTGGGCAAGCCACTCATTCATCTCAGAACTTACACGATTTATGATATTTGAGGTTACCACTTCACTACCCGAGTTATCTTTTGCCCAAGCATCCGCCACAATATTCTTACTTTCTTCCTCTTTTCTTTTGCCCAGTACGCTTCATACCTAAACTTTCTGCCCCACCTTATCTCCTCCCTCCTGACCATCCGTTTCCAGTACAATGACACGATGATCTGAATGAACCCGGCTCAAATGCCTTAGGAGTGCATTTGGATAGGCAGTGGCCCATTCAGAATTACAAATAGCTAGCTCGATTCAAACGTTCTTCCGTGAAGGCCTCTCCCGCTCAAGAATTATCCCAAATGAACGGGCCGGTATCCTACATAGCCCATGTCTTCTAGATTCATATCCGCCAAGGCATTTGCAAAAGCCTGCATATCCCGCTCATCTTCTAGGACTCTACTCTCACTGCCCATTTTAACACCTAGTTGAAATCACCGATCACCAACAAACGGGCTGTCATGCGGCTAGGGGTGTTAGTCGGTGCGGTTTCGGTTTAACCGCATCGAAATATCGGTTAACCGCAATCAAAATTGTCCCAAGATCGCTAACCGAAACCGAAACCGACAGAGACTTCGGTTAACCGAAAACCGCAAACATCGGTTTTGGTTTTTCATTGCGGTTAATCGAAACCGTAGGTTCTGGTTCACTTTCTCGATTTTCGTTCAGAAACCGACACCCAAAACCGAATTTCAACCACCTTTTTTAATGATTCACCCTCGATTTTGAGTGAACTGCTTTTGTTTCATCCTCTATAATCACACACCATAAAGTCATCTAAATCAATTGAACATAAAGCCTAAAGCAACCACACAATTCAACCACAACTCCACAACATAAAGTCTACATGCCCACAATTCAACCACAACTCACAATCACAACTAGACACAAATAACAAGTTCATTATCTCCAAATCATCAACCTAAATGATCCGAGGATCTCGCTCCAATTCATCTAGCCCATAGTCATCATTTACTCCAAGATCTTCATCTAGCCCATAGTCATCAACCTAAGGTTCACTCTATCGAGTGCAAAGGGGAGTTAGAAAGGGGTGACTTTCGAGTTCTAACTCTTAAAAACATTCGAGACTCTTGATGGATGGTTGTTTGCAATAGGTGAGAATTGGGATGTTTGGAATTGCGACTTTGATTGGTTTTGAATCTTACAACTTTTTCCCTTAGCCAAAGTAAAAAACCATGTAGTCACACTAGTAGGCGGTTATCGGTTAACCGCAACCGATTAGTCGGTTAGCGGTTAACCACTAACCAAAATACTACTAACCGAAACTGAAACCAATAATGAAGTAGCGGTTATCGATTAATCACTAACCAACTTTATCGGTTCGGTTATCGATTAAAACCGATAACCGACTAACCGTTTATCACCCCTACGTGCGGCCGTGAAGTTGCCTGATGAATTTGGTACCTAGGGTAGTGTGTCTTTTGGCTGGCTTTGGTATTATTGCTATCCAGAGATATGACATTTCTATTATTTTGTTTTCTCTTGCACAATTATATTCTCTTTCCCCCTCTCATGATAACATAATCCAATCACTCACTTGGTTTCTCATTGCTAAGGAAGTATCAGTTTGCTTTGCCACCCTATCATCCAAATTATAATTCATCTTGACTTATCCTTTATTGCACCCCTTTGATTAATCCATAAGTAAATGTTCTTATCCATACTATATACATATACATGCTCATTGTTAAACCTAAATAAATTTGTTATACGTCATTGCTTATGTCAAACTAAGGGGAATGAAAAATATTATTAAAGAGGACTCTTACAAAGTCGCCAAACAACTTGCCAACATTTATTCTATGATAGACCTAACTTCATTTTGATTATTTTCTTCAACCATGCTAAGAAATTCGCAAATCTTCATTCGTTGCAGGACCTATTTTTAATGTAATCTTATATTCATACATCTTCACTGTTTTAATTTATTTCATAAAAAATATATATTTGTTGCAGAAAAATTACTACATTTGTTCGTCATATTTGTGTAATGAGAGTCATTTGATAAGTCTTCTGTACACAATACATTGGCGAGTTGACTATTACTGACAACATTGCATCATGTACCATATATTTCAAATCCTGCAACTTCAAGTCCATTACTTGCGCCATGATCAACAAAGACGCTCTTTGCTGGAAAAAAGAATTTAGGGACATATTGAATTCTATCAGAGACCAATCATTTTCTTTCATTCTTAAACTCGATTATGTATGTATTATGTGAAGCAACTCTAATATTCAAATATATGGTTTTCTTAAGTATTGAAAGACAATTAGTTATGTGTTTCTTTTTCATTAAATAATTATATTTATTTTTAACTCATATTTCTCCTTATTATTTTATAATCAAATTATGCATAGACAATCAATTTGTATTTCCAATCATCTATCGTATCCATTCTTATATACCATATTTCCGAGCTAACCTCTTCGACCAACAAGCCAGTCCCATTGACACCAAATGCTAGGGGTGTTCAATTGATTTATCATTTTAATTATCAAACCAATTAAACTTGAATTCTATTAACCATGTAATACAATATCAAAATGGAATTGACCAAACTAAGACAACAACCAAATTAACCAAACTAAAGTTTAATCAGTTTGGTTAATTAGTTAACTGGATTAACCAATATAACATAACATTATTATTACACAAGAAAAAATATTATGTTAATGCATCATCTATCATGCCCATTGACACCAAATGCTAGGGTGTTCAATTGATTACCATATTAATTACCAAACCAATTAAACCTGAATTCTATTAACAATATAATACAATATCATAACCGAATGGACAAAACTAAGACAACAACCAAATTAACCAAACTAAAGTTTAATCGGTTTGGTTAATTAGTTAACTGGATTAACCAATATAACATAACATTATTATTACCAAGAAAAAATCTTATGTTAATGCATCATCTATCGTGCCCATTGATACCAAATGCTAGGGTGTTCAATTGATTATCATGGTAATTACCAAGCCAATTAAACCTGAATTTAATTAACCATGTAATACAATATCATAACCGAACGGACAAAACTAAGGCAACAACCAAATTATCCAAACTAAAGTTTAATCGGTTTGGTTAATTAGTTAACTGGATTAACCAATATAACTTAACATTATTATTACCCAAGAAATTTTTTTTATGTTTATGCATCAATCCATAAGTTATATAATGAATATATAATCACAATCAAAATATAGTTAACCGTAAAATAAATACATGCAACTAATAAAATTATATTGTAGTCAGTATAAGTAGCCACCTAACAAAAATATATGTTTACGGTATGAGGTTAATGAATTGGGTATGTCCTTTCCTTTCAACTTTTCATCCAACATAATGTAGGAGAGTTATCTAATTTAGGTGTCCATATGCTCTCTACAATCTACAAGAACAAATATAGTATATGAATGATAATGAGCTTTATTTTTTGATGAGTCTAAAAAAGAGGAATGTTTGATTCTTGAGTGGTTATGCAAGATAATAATTAATAAGTATGTGTACATAATATATTTGATATATGACTACATTGAACTTTAGTACTTGACTCCCGGTTAACACAAATTTTTACCGACTAATGTAAAATTGGGTCTAAAAGAGAGGAATGTTTGATTCCGACCCAAGAACATATACTGTATAGGAAGGATAATGAGCTTTATTTTTTTTTTTTTTTTTTTATGGGTCTAAAAGAAAGGAATGTTCGATTCTTGAAACAATACGAAACAGAATTGCCAGAAATTGACGAAATCAAACTTAGGTAGCCCAAAAAAAAAATTTAATCAAAACGCTCAAATACATCGCATCATCCACTTCCTAATTCCTATACGTGAAACAAAACACGATCTTGCCACAGAGATTAGCCAAGTAAAAGTTCCGGTTCGCAGCCAAATCAACACCATTGGGATACGGAATCCGAATGGTTCCCCAGCGACGGTTATGTATGCAATACCGATCCCCATAGTAATAAGCCATCATCGTCGTCCCGCCTTCAGGATGAGACGTCTTCGCAAACCACCAGTTGTTCACGTCGAACTGCCCTTGACCGAAAGTATTCGTATGTACCCCTTTTTCAGGTGGAGCAAGCCACTCTTCAGCGATTCCTTCGTCAACTGAATGATAGAGACTATAGAGATTGCTCAGCCGTGGCTCCGTCAGCGTAGGCAAGTGGAAAATCTTGACGTGGTGACGTAATACCTGGCTTGTAAAACAAATGAACGTTTCTTGTGGCACGGGCCGCCGGTGACTGACGTGGAACGCCCACTCCTCGTTGTTGGGCACTCCGTATAGGACCTTGCCACCAGGTGACAACACCGATGAGCTCTTAACGGTGCTCGTCGATGATAGTTGGTCCCTTAGCTTTGCCAACTCCTTCTTCATATCTTCCACTTCCTCGTCAGTGTACTTACTTGGCTTCCCTCTAATCTCCTCATCTTTTTCCTTCATCAATTTTCGAAGTTCGTCTTCCTTTTCCTTTCTTAGCTTCCGCAATTCTTCATTCTTCTCGCATAGGGTCTCAGCCTCTTTCCTTTTCACCGCCTTCTCGATGTCTTCGTCCTTCTGTCTCTTCAGATTTTCGATCTCTTCATCTTTCTCTCGTTTTAGTTTTTGAATTTCCTCTTCTTTCTCCTTTCTCAACGCTTGCAAATTTGCTCCGCCAGTTTTACCATTTTTGAGTTTTTGCAGCTCTTCGTCCTTTCTCTTTACCATCTTCCGCAACTCCTCTTCCTTCTCCTTCTTTAACTTTTGCAATTCATCGTCCTTCTCCATCAGCCTGGTCAACGTTTCTTCCTCTTTATCCTTTTCTAACTTTTCGAGCTCATCTTCCTTCTCTTTCCTCAGCTTTTCCATCTCCTCCTCCATCTCATTCTTCAGTTTTCGCAACTCGTCGTCCTTCTCCTTTCGAATCTTTTGCAGAGCAGCTCCACCGTCCTTTCCTTTCCTCAGCATTTGGAGTTCAACATCCTTCTTCTTTGATAATTTCCGCAACTCCTCGTCCTTCTCTTTTCTTAGCTTTTTCAATTCTTCTTCTTTTGCTTCGTTGAGCTTGCCTATTTCTTCTTTCAACTCCTGCAACTCATCTTCCTTCTTCTCTCTGAGATTCTGCAACTCGTCATCCATCTCCTCTTTTAGATTCACCAGTTTCTCATCCTTCTCCGTCAGCAGCCTTTTCAACTCCTTGTACTTCTCCATACTGATTCCGCTACCTCCTTCCATATGCTTTGATCGCTGACCATGTCTGGGATCGTGGTACTTCAACTCCGAACTGCCCCACATGTCAGTTCTGGTGAGGTCGACTCCATGATGGGGCCAACTGAACAAATCGTTCAGTCGAAGATAGTGAACTCCGAAGTCGACGTACTCTCCAAGCTCGTTCACATCTTGGAAGCAGTGACCTCCGGGGTTCACCATCAAGGTTAACCGCTTCAGGTGTTGGGCCAGCTTGGTCAATGCTTCCCACCCTTGAATTTTCCCATGGCCATCGAAGAACACCAACCCATCATATGTCCTGGTTTCATCCGCCGTGTTATCGCCGCCGCCGTCGTCACCATCGAGATTTGTGTTGATGCTGGCTACTTCCCTCCAATGTGTCTTTCGGATGGAAGATGGGTGAGTGAGAGTTGACTTTGTCAACTCGTAGACTTGGAGGGTAACCCCATCAGATGAAGCAACAAAGTGTTTGTTGGACTTGAAATCAAAGGGAGCCATTTCGATTTCCGATCGATCTATCGGCTAACTCTGGAGGCAGAGTTAGACAAGGGAGATAAATTGCAGTAAGGGGTAGCTTTGCTTGGTATTTTAGGCTTTGAGTTGTTTGCTTGGTATTTTAGGCTTTGAGTTGTGGAAGTCTTATATTGACAAACAGACTTAATAAGAATTATTGTTTCCAAAAAACAAAAACACAAAAAAAAAGACTTGTTGACTTTTGAATGAACTTTCGCAGAAAGAAGATAGAAAAGTGATAGTAGAGTAGTATACCATGACTTCTATGGTGCAAGTGCATTCAATAGAAAAATGTAGGAACGACAAATGATTAAAAAAAAATAATGTTTACAATTGCTAATAATATTCCTACAAAAATGACTGCATAAGCTAGATCGACCATTATCAATATGTTTTTACTCATACTATTTTTTCTTCATGGTTGACCATTCATAAATTTATGAAGGCATATCAGGAAATTTCAAAAATATATCAATTGAAGATAAAAAAAAAAAAATACAAATTAAGACGAAACCGCTGGTAGTTGGCTAGTTGCTGTGTTTTTATACGAGTATACCCACAATTATTAGTCTCTTATAGATTTATTTTGGGCTAGTTGGCAGCGACGACTTTTCAACATTGACTTTACGTATCTCTATTCTATGACTGGGGTTACTATACGAAAACGCCCATGGAAGAATTTTTTTTATTACCAAGTAATATCAGCCTCATTTGTCACTTTGTAACAGAGGGTCCTACTAAATTTGGTGGCCACCTGCATTCAATTCGACGTCAATAGTCTTATACCTTCGGGAACACTAACAGACTTCGTTTGAATTCGAACCTGGGATCTGCAACTCCCAACCCTTCTCGATCGCAACAACCTACCGTTATACTATCTTACCTTTGGTGCCCATGGAAGATTAAGATTGAGAGAGTAATGATCTAATAGTCATTAAAGCGGAAGGGCAATTTTTTCAACATTTGAATTTGACTTTAAAACTCGAGTTGATCTGTTGTGACTGGCTACATTTAAAGTTATGTGTTCTCTTGCTCTTTCCTTATTTAACGAGATGGTGACTGAAATTTATGGACAACTGACAGAATTTTTCACGACTGAACAGTTTTTCAGGCAAGTTGTTAGACCACTTTGAAAATCGCTTACGAAAATTCAACGGATCATAATCATTTATTTTACATTGGTTTTTCAAAAAAAATTAGTGTAAAATATCGGCCTTTATAGTTGTATAAGATAATATCCACTTTGATATTTTTATTAACAAATTTTTTTAGATAATCGTATTGCAGTCACATCACGATATTATCGTAGTGATAATATCGTGATAGGACAATGGTATAAGGGTGATGTTAGTCTTACTCTTACCGTAGTGGTACGATCATGATACTGCAAAGCTATAATGCGATATAGTATTTGAAGTCTTATCATAGTGGTATGATGTTTGTATGATAATGGTAAGATAATTATATGAAGTCCTATCTTTTAGCAAAAAAATTGATGTCATCATACCACTATCATATCTTGATATTATCATATATTAGTATGATATTGTTGTTTGTCTTAACACAGTGCTAAGATCATGATATGATTGTGATAAGATGACAATACACATATATCTTTCGCTCAATGATATCATTGTGATAAGATCATGGTATAACAATTATAAGATGATATTATGAATTTTTACCATAGTGATATGATATTGGTATAACAGTCATAAGATAAAACGAGATTCTATCTTTGAGGAAAAAATTGTTGTGGCCTAATTAGTGAGAGACACACAAGTAATATAAAATAAAATCGTTTAGGATATGAGTTGACAAATCTAATGTCACAACAACCACTGTTGTTTTGTCTTCCATTTCATGTCCAAAATTTCTAACAAGCGTTGGGTATCATAGTTAGTAAATAATCCGTTTAATACACGTATATGTACCCGTACGTACTTTATCCGTTTAAAACTTTCGTATCCGTATTATTAGCAAGCCGTTTCATTTTTCCCCGTTCATTTGATGGCTCCCGTACTAAACATGTATAAAACCCGTATGACACGTTTATTATCCGTATTTTTACGAATTAAATTGTTAACTTTACTATTATATATATATATATATTAATTTTTAAAATGATTAATTTTTATATTTTTTACTATTAAAGTTCTACTAAACGTAATTGTAGCTTAGAGACGGAGGAATATAATACCCATACGTATTTTTTTACGTAACTTTTCTCGAACCGTATTTTACTAACTATGTTGGGTATACCTTGAAAAAACATGGTCGAAGTATGAATACCTTTATATCACGGGTGTGGGAGCTAAGCAGCTAGCCCACTCCATCCACAAAAAATCCGGCCCATACATTTGACGTCTTGAACTACTTCTAAAGCCTTCGATAGGGCCTGCTATATATCATGGTCCATGAAACCGTACCGGAAAAGTCAGCGGTAGGGTATTTTATGGCAAAACCGTGGTTTAACCAGAGTTCAACCGTTAGTACCGTTAAATACCGCCTATCGGTTTAGCCTCCGATACTGGTATTTTGTGGTTGAACCGCCGGTACGGTACGGTTTAATGGACCATGCTATATATACCTCTTCTTTCTGTTTTCTATGATTCTAGCTCGTCCATCTTACGGCCAGGTGACATGGTTGTCGTGTCTGTGCCATGCCGACTGATTGAAGCTGGTTGAATATTTACAAGTTATGAAACTGACATAAATTTTATTGGTATAATTTTTTTTTTTATGAATGATTTGGGATTTTATAAATGTGACACTAAATTGGTGTCAACAAATGTGAAGAAGAATGAGGAGTACAAAGAAGAGAACACTAATTGGCCGAAAATCTTTGATGTCCTCAACTGCTTCCTTCTTCGGAATAAGGGCAATGAATGTACTATTTAAAGCTCGTGGGAATCGCCCACCATTTTGGAATTCCTGCAAGGCAGAAACAATGTCAGTTTTTAAAATCGGCCAAGTCTTTTGGAAGAAGCCCATGTTGAAACCATCCGGCCCTGGGGACTTGTTTCCATGACTCGACATGATTGCAGAGTAGATTTCGGCTTCTGAGAACGGAGTCTCTAACATTGCAGCAGCACCACTGTCAATGGATTTGAATGGTAGAGTTGTTGGTAGAGGTCTGAATTTGTGAGCTTCACGAAAGGCGTTTGTATAGTAATCGACTATTGCTCTGGAGAGAGCTTGTTGGCCTTCGTAGTAGGAGCCATTTATGCTGATTTTGATAGAAAATTTCGCCTTCTGTTGAAGTTCGCTACTCGATGGAAGAAGCTTGTATTGTTGTCTCCTTCTTTTAACCATGTTTCCCTGGATTTTTAAGTATAATTGATATGATCGATTTATGATTTTTAAGTATAATTAAGACATTTTAGTAAATTTTATTGACTAAAAATAAATTGATTATATGTTTTATGAATATAAAATTTCAAAGTTGACAGTCATTTGTTAAATTCAGTTATAAACGTTTAGATATTGACGTTAAATATTGTATTTCAATATAAATATTTATTATTTTATTTGAAATGTTGAATTTTATTAAGCCGGCATGAACCGGTACGAATTTTATATGGAATGTCGAATTTTATTAAGCCGCCGGTAATTTTATTTGTGAGAATAAACATTAGCCAAAATATCCAAGGCTATGTATTTATGTTGAGTGTTTTCTAAATGAGTGTTTAAACACTGAATGTTTCCTTTGCAGGTGATCCATAATTCGTACCAAGTTGAGACAAGGAATAATAATACATTGCCAAAGTTTACATTTTTTTTATTTTTATGGAAATTAAACTTTAGAGAAATATAGAATACATGACTACTACTACCAAAAAAAAGAATACATGACTACTATTCACTCGAAGACGGATGAATCACGCGGCCTTGTTCTTTCCGCCGCCGCCGCCGCCCGCCGGTACGTCGCGGAGGGCCCCGCCGCGGGTCCAGGAGCGCTTGCAGGCTCTGCAGAAGTGGCGGGGCTGGGAGAGGCTGTAGTTGTTGAAGTAGCAGAACTTGGTGTCGGTGGATTTGCAGCGCGGGCACCGCAGTCCCGCCTCCTTCTTTTCCACGGCGGTGGAAGCCGTTGGCGGCGGGGGATCGGCCTCGGTAATCCGAGGATACTGCGTAAAGGGGGAAGAGATGGCGAGTAGGTTTCCTAGCTCTTCCATCTCGTCTTCCTTTCCCACAAGTCCCGCCGCCGTCGTCGTTTCTTCATCTTCCTCGTTTGCTAACTTGGGGAGCTGGCCTTCCTTCCCTTCTCTTGGGTTCGGCAGCTTCTTGTCCGTCTTCTCCTTGTTGTCATCAGATGAAGCAGTAGCAAGGTGTTTGTTGGGGTTGGAATCAGAGGTAGCCATCTGGGGTTTCAATCTATAAACTAGCTGACACTTATGTATTGCTGTTTGGAGCTGGAGTGGGAGTGGGTTCTGAGAAGTCTCACGGTTATATATATACTTCTAGGCAAGATGACTAATATTGGTGCAAGTGCAATGATCAGATTAATGGATTATGCAAGTGCAAAGCTGTGAAGAAACAGCCGGGTACCAGCGCTGTCTTTGGTTTATATGGGTATCGTGCAATATGCTAGTCATTGTTTAATCATTTATAGCCGTGACTTTGACCCAAAGCAACAGAAAGCTAATCAAGTTGTTATTAAGAAAGACCTATTAATATAATATATATATATATATATATATATATATATATATATATATATATATATATATATATATATATATATATATATATTGAGAAACGCATTAGTAACCTTCCAGTCAGCATCCTTCACATTTTGGGACTATTATCAACATCACTCACCACGGTCAAAGAGCAACAAGAATAATTTCATGATACGCGTTCAATACTCGAGGGAATAAATGGATAGGATTCATGGATTGGCGGTTGGATTGATGGATTCATGAAGACTCGAAATTTCTACGAAGTAAGCTGCCTTTTAGCATAAACAAACTGCCAGAAAACACCCTTTTTTTTTTAACTTCGAGCATTTTATTTGAAACCTTCCAGATATCTAATATTTCATCCAATGCCTTAGAACAATTTAAAGGTCCTTACAAAGAGAGTGGGTTAAGAAAAAGGGTGGGTTCGAGATCCACATTTTTTCAGTCTCCCAATTGCAAAAAGTGTGGGCCAAAATGTGGGTTGGTCCATTAAAAGGGTGGGTTTTAAAACTATTTTAATAACAAAGCGATTGATATTAAAAAAATATTTAATTATAAAGGTGATATAAATTTACTTTTTGTGATTAGATACTACTTAAGTGATTCGAATTTGGGATCTACTAATTCAAAACACTTAAATAAATATCTTTGCATAAAACAATTACTAATAATTACATAAATTAGCTGTAAGTTGTTTGTATAGGGTGATGATTGTTACCATGATCCACACCTCTTCAAACACTGTTTGAATGAGGGTGTTTGGTGCATAAAAAGGAACCCACTACACTGCTACTTGGGCTGGAAGTTTGGTACTAGTATTTGGGATATACTGAATACCATACCGAATTTATCACTATTTGGTATTACCGAATACCGACTTATTTTTTAGGGATTGAGATTCGTTTTGGAGTGCTATTCGGTATTCGGAGTTATGAGATTGGGATCGGTCTATACCGAGATATCGAGAAATACCAAAAATTAATGAAATATAGCACACATCCTTTTGTCATTCCTCAGTCTTTCACATTAGAAGCCTCGTCGAGCTCAATTTTGACTTTCCAGTTAAAGTCACTCTCGTCTCTCACCTAATATCTTTTGATTTTCATAACACCAAAAAGTAAACAGAGTATTAGTCATCTCGCAACCTCCAATTCATCATATTGAGATTACCAATGACAAGAAATTGAGATGTCACATATTTTCCATTCTTCTTATCCATATCCTAGCTCTAGGCAAACTCAAGACTCTTTGCTTAGTCTCTTGCTCTAAATTAAACAATCAAATATAATTTATATATTTATTATTAATTGCAAAGGTAATTAATTTCGCATTTGGTAATACCGATTGTGATACCGAAAAGTATGGAAATTATTTAGGGATTGATATTGGGATACCGAAATTATTTATGAATTGGGATTGTGATTGATTTTAGAGTGTGTTCGGTATTCAGGATTTCGGTATTTGGTATTGTGATACCGATATCGTACCGATTTCTACCCATAACTGTTACCCTACTCGTATGGAGATTCCTCAAGAGTTTCGCGACTACATCTAAGACTACGACTATGAAGGGTTCTTCATGGATGAGAGCTGGGATTGAATGTCCCTTAATAGCAAGAAAATCACCTACGTGATTCTGCTCTTTGTAAACATGACTAATCTGGACCTCACCGATGGTGTCCATCAGATTCTGAAGCTGACGGCTAATAGGGGCATGCCTATGCCCATCCTCGACCCGATTCTATAACACTTGCATCGCCGCCAGGGAGTCCATCTGAAGCTCAACTCTAGTAGGTTCCAACCGATGCACTAGGATCATTCCCTCCAGTGCACCTCTTAGTTCGGCCATCATAATCGTGCATTAGCCATAATTTGACATAAAGTTCCCAGGTTCCTTTCACTGTGATCTCTCGCAATTCCTTTAGATGCTGCTATCGATCTTGGGTTGTGCACTGACCCATCTGCGTTGATGGCGATCCATCTCTCCGCTGCTGGTTGCCAGTTCAGCATCACTTCCCTCCTCGTGATCTCCCGTCAAAGACCGATCCACTCGTCACTCTTCAGAGCCATCTCCACCGCCTCGGTCCAGTAGCGAACACGGGCCACCAAAGCTGTCCCTTTAGTTTGTTTCCTTCCAAAAACAACTTCACTACGACACTTCCAAATCTATGACTTGCTAACATCTTTCAAATCAAAACAACAAAACTCATGACATAAATCCAATGTATAAAAAAGCATGATAATCCAAATCTATGGCTTGTTCTTTGTTTTCAAAATACAAAAATTAGTTATTAGAGGAATTTACAATGTTTTATAGTATTGATGTTTGGTTTAAAAAAAATGTACCATTAATGTTATCACCAAAATTCAATTTGTACTTATATCTTTTTTTAAAAATTCAAATATTGTAAAAGTTGGAGTTGATACTTTTTATGTTATGGTACAAATTGCACTTGTACTATAACATAAAGGTACAATTTTCTTTATATTACAAACTGAACTTCTACTGTTAACATTATAGTAGAAACTGAAATTATATCATTGCATAAAAATATAAATTCATTTATAATATAAGCTGAACTTGTAACTTTAACTTTAGAAGTTTAATTTGTACTTGAAAACATCGATACTTTTATTGATAATAAGTATGTTAGATAGAATGATTGGTTTATCAGATTCAGCCAAAAAAAACCCTAATAAGTGTTATTTTTTTGTGTGCGAACAATCATTGGTTAAAACTAGATTATGGTCCGGCCTCTTGGCCGGGAGAGTTTGATTCTCATGTTTTCATGTATAAGTGCAGGTATATATTTTTGTTATGGTCCATGTTGTTGGGGTTTAAAGTAACTATTTAGTTTGGTAAATTCTCCACTAATAATATAGGAAAGTATTTGATGTATTTGGCTAACGAAAATTTAAAAAATGATGAACAACGTCCAACTACACTAACATAAATACATATTTTCAAACGAAGCCGTATTGATATAAAAATGTCTAAGAAGAACAATGGTAAGAGTTGTATTACATCATACATGAATAATCAATCTTCAGTATACGATAAAATGTTTCGACTTTTCCATTGACTTTTGTGTATTCAATGATATAATGGAACAAAGTATATGTATAGAATGTCCTTAATAAGAAACAAACTAAATCACACACTCATGTTTCGAGTGGCATTAATGTAGTCGAAGCATGCAGATCTCCAACTGGCAAGTTCAACTAATAGAGCAACACATAAAAAGCTAAATCAAACTGAAAAAAATGCGAACACTAAAAGCAACATACCTAATATTTTGGGAAAAATCGAAAACAATAAAAATCATTGTAGCTTGTACTCAAGTTAGAAAGACTTTGATTTAACAGTAGGTAAACAATGATATGTAGTGCTTAAGCCTTAAGAGAGAAGATGACACCTTACATTCTTTATCAATATGCATCTTAGTTTCATGTTTCTCAAAAAAATGCATCTGGTTTCATAAACTTTAGAACAAAAGTAATTCAATAATCAATATGGACACAATATCTAATCAAGAACAAGGAAGTGTTTGGTAATATTCACCTTAAAGTTGATGATCTTGTAAGGAGAATTAAAGCTTTGGATACGCTGGAAGAGACTCGTCCTCTTTTGGATAATGAACAGGCTGACAGGGCTGATTTTGTTTCCATGTTAGGAAGAGCTCTTAATATGCAGGAAATCTGTTGGCGTCAAAAGTCAAGGGAGCTTTGGTTGCATAAGGGTGATAGCAATTCTGGGTTTTTTCACAGAGTGGCTAATTATAAGAGGAAGCTGCAATGTATTGATCGTATCAAAATTAATGATGTGGTTGTGGAGGGTTTGGAAGCTGTGGCAACAGGGATTGTAGATTATTATAAAGAGTTGTTCTTGGAACACAACCCCCATCACCCGTTTATGAGAAGCTACTTCTCGGTTTCCCTTGATGATAATGATCGCAACCTTCTGTGCAGCCCCTTCTCTGAGAAGGAAATCTGGGAGTGTCTTCTGGATTGTGATGGGTCCAAAGCGCCGGGACCTGACGGATTTTCGCTCGATTTCTATAAGAAGTGTTGGGGCTGGTTGCGTATGGACATTGTTAACTCCTTTAATGAGTTCTTTTCTAGTGGTTATCTTCCGGCTTGTGCATCCCATTCTTTCATCTGCCTTACCCCTAAGAAGGACTCCTTTGAGACTGTTAGGGATCTCAGACCTATTAGCCTTATGGGGAGCATAAACAAACTCTTCAGCAAAGTTCTATCTCGACGCTTCAGCCTTGTCCTTCCTAAGTTGGTGTCTAAATATCAGCACGCTTCTGTTAAGGGGAGACAGATTGATGAGGCCGGTCTTATCGCCAATGAACTGGTGGATAGCAGGCGAAGAACCAAAAAACCAGGGCTTATGTTTAAGCTGGATATCGAGAAGGCGTTCGATAATGTTAACTGGGGCTGCTTGTTTCGTATCCTGGAGAGTCTGGGTTTCCCTTCTCAGGTCTCTAATTGGGTTAAAGGTGTCATGTGCTCGCCTTTGCTGTCTTTACTCGTTAACGGGGAGGCCCACGGGTACTTTCCGGCCTCTAAAGGGCTTCGTCAAGGGGACCCGCTCTCCCCTGGACTGTTCGTCCTCGTGATGGATGTTCTTTCCTTCATGTTAAGTAAAGTCCATGATGATGGGCTATTTGAAGGGTTTTTCATGGATGAAGATCAGAGGAGGGGAGAAGTGTCTCATCTCCTATTCGCTGACGACACGCTTATTTTCTGCGACGCAAATGCTGATCAAGTGCTGCTTATTTTGGCTACCCTCGTGTGTTTTCAGTCTGTAACAGGGTTGAGCATCAATCTGGATAAATCAATGATGTATACTGTTGGCGATGTTCCTGAGCCGGAATACTTCGCCAACATTTTTGGTTGCAAATGGAGCAAGGATCCCCAAAAGTATCTCGGGTTTCCTCTTGGGGCTAGGCTCAACTCCTCGGCTATTTGGGATCCGATTATTGAGAAGTTTCAAAGCAAGTTGGACGGGTGGAAAAGCAAGTACCTTTCCGCTGGAGGAAGGTTTATTCTTAATCAATCTGTGCTCTCTAGCCTGGTGAGTTATAACTTCTCCTTGTTCAAGGCCACAAAGTGCGCGATTGCGAATATGGAAAAAAATCCAAAGGAGGTTCTTATGGAATGGGGCTGGTGAGGGGCTTAAAACCCCTTTGGTTGGCTGGGATTTATCCAAAGCTTCGAAAGACGATGGGGGTCTAGGGGTGGTTGATCTCAGCTCGTTTAATAGTGCTTTGTTATGCAAATGGCTGTGGAGGTTCTTTGTCGAGAGGAGTAGTTGGTGGCGAGTCCTCATTGATATTAAATATCCGAACCCTCTTTCACAGTGGCAGACGAAGGAGTGTAAAAGGGGCTTTTCTGGGTCCCCTTGGGTTAGCATCTCGAAGGAGTACAGCCTATTCTGGAAGCATGCCTTTATCGATCCTGGTGGTGGGGTGGAGGTTTCGTTCTGGCACGATTGCTGGATCTCTAGGCAAACTCTTGCCGCTTCGTTTCCTCGTGTCGCCGCCGCTGCGCTTTACCCCGGAGCCCAGATAAGTGATTCTGTCTCTTTTGATGGTGAGAGTGTCTCGTGGGATCTTAGTCTTAATGTGTCATTGCGGGGTGGGGCGGAAAGGGAAAGAGAGAACCTTGTGTCGTTTCTTCATTCGGTCGAGTCTCAGTATACCTTCAGTGGTCCGTGTAGGTTAGTTTGGTCTCTTGGTAATAGTGCATCGTTTACCGTTTGTTCTCTGTACAGGAATCTCTCCAAAATGAAGTTTCAGGGGGTCCTGAACTTCCCAGTTCTTTCTGTTTGGAGGAAAGTTGTGCCTCTCAAGGTTAATTTCTTCATCTGGTGTGCTTTTCATGCGAAAATCCTTACCATTGATAACCTGAAGAGAAGAGGCTTCGCTCTCGCCAACCGGTGTCTGCTGTGTGGGGCTTCTGAGGAGTCTATTGATCATTTGTTTGTGGATTGCGCTTTCACCCGTGAAGTGTGGTCTGAGTTAGGCAGCAGATGCAGATTGAATGTCTCGCCTGCGTGCAGCTTCGTGGCGACTGTCCGCTGCTGGCCTGCTAGCATTCCGGAGGACAATGCGAAGTGGGTGTTGTACTGCTTTCTTCATGCCACTTGTTGGATGATTTGGAACGAAAGGAACGCTAGAATTTTCAAGGATGAGTGTCACGGATCAGGTTATGTCTCACGCAAGATCTCTCGTCACGTCTCGGAGTGGTTGATTGCTCATGGCAAGTGCGATAGGGTTGATTTCATTGGGCAGGTTGTTCTGTGACCTCCATGTGCTGGTGCCAGCTAGGAGTGCTTTTCGGGATTGGCTTCTCTTTTTCTGGGCTTTGTTTCCCGCCTGTTTCTTGCTGGTCCGCTAGTTGCCGAGGAGGTATGGTCCTCCCAGCAGCTTGCGCCTGTGTTTTTGTTTCTTTGTTAGTTTCCTTGTTTCTTTGTGCTTCCTCTTGGATCAATCCTCTTGATCCTTTGTGTTGTCTTTTGGACTCCTTCTCCCCTGTACCTCTTCGCTCTTGTCTGGTAATTTTAATTTTCACCATTATCAAAAAAAATATCTAATCAAGAGAAGAGGAAGAGAAAAAAACACAAATCGTTGTGTATAGATTCTGCTCACGTTATTTCATAGTGAAAAATATCATAAAAATTATTAATTGATAAAAGGGAACGATAAAGGGGAAAATGCATTGATTTGAACCTAAAATAAGAGGAACTAATATCCTACACCATCATACAATAATGATATATTATATCCCAAAAAATCATTAAAATAATCTATCTAAACGAAAAAGTATACTAAATTGAATCCATTGTAAAAGTAACGATGAACATATATATTATATCTACCTAAGGAATAATAAAGTAAGTCATGTTTCTTAGAGACCTCTCTCGATAGAACCACTCTATGATAAAATCATTTCGTAAAACAATTGTATCATATGAGTTTTAACTTAAAAATTTAAGTCCTTATAATTAGCTATTTCATCTCATGAATGAATTAATTATAAAATTTGGTATAAAAAATTATAAAATTGATAGTTATTTTGCTTGTTGTTAAATCATTTCAACTGAAGTATGAAAGTGCTTCAGAACTGTTACTTTATTCATCATTATTTTTTTTGATAAGGTTGACATCGATTTATTATTAAAACAAAAGAAAGAAGCTACAGAGTTACGAAAGGCAGGAAGGAAAGAAATAAAGACAAATCACCCATCGAGCAGCAAGAGAGCCCGACCAGGAAACAAACGGCATAAGAAGCCAAGGGGCAAGGAACATTCAGAACCTAATCTGCAGAGGGAACACAGAAAGACAAAAGCACTTAAACTGCTTGGGAGTGATCACTGTTGCCAATAGTTCTTTGCCTGAGATGCCTGAGCCAAAAATCAGCATCTTCCTTGTCAACTTTCCCTGCAACAGCCAGCCACTTTGCGATCAAATCTCCAATCCTGTAGGCAATGACCACTTCAGAGGTGGCCACACCCTCAAAGATTCTTCGATTCCTTTCTTTCCACAGCGTCCAACACAGAGCATGAGGAAAAACAGCAGTGCACCACTCTTTCGCATTTATCGGGTTCCTCCGGGGCCAATTGCTAATGACCTGGGAAATATCCCCATCTCTCCGATTCACTTCCACGAAAGCCTTGAGGATTTCCCAAACTCTAGAAGCAAAGCTGCAGTGAAGGAACAGATGACTCGCGTCCTCTTCGCTAGCAGCGCACATCACGCACATGCTGGGGAAGTTCCACCCTTTCTTCTTGAGTGAATCATGGGTGAGGATCTTTTGCTGATGCAGAATCCACATGAATGTGCAGACCTTGGATGGGATCCAAGCTTGCCAGATCATCTTATGCGGAAAGTCACCAGGCTGTGCGTGCCTCTCTTTTAGCAGGCCGACATACATGGAATGCACGCTGAACTTCTCCGCCGGCCGCCACACCACGGAATCCTGACCTGCAGAAAAGCACGACTGATCTAAAGTATTCAAGAAATCAAAAAAATTCTCCCTTTCCCTCTCAGCCCCCCCTCTAAAAGAAGTGTTAAAAGGAATGTCCCAGGAAACGCTCTCATCCACGATACGAAGCAGATCTTTAATCGAGGCCGAAGGAGAGGCAGCAGCAGACGCCATCCGCGGAAACCTTTCTTCGAGTGTCAGATTGTCCCGCCAGATATCCCTCCAAAATGAGGTAACTTCACCAGTACCAGGTTTAACTTGAGCAAATTTCCAGAAATCCGGTTCCTGCTTACAGATTTGGCTCCAAACACTACACCCCACAGCCCCAGTAATCTGCCCACTGCGCCACCGAGTACCACCACTGGAAAACTTTTCAACAATCAGATTCTTCCACCAGCTATCATGTTCCTGAGTGAATCTCCAAAGCCATTTGCAGATCATTGCCTTGTTTTGCAACTCAAGATCCATGATCCCCAGCCCACCCCACTTAATTGGAGCTTTACATCGATCCCAAGAGACAAGGTGAAAATGACGATGATCCGAGTTACCCTCCCAAATGAAAGTTCTCTGGACTTTCTCCAATTTATGGATCACGTTCTTTGGAGCAGTGAGGAGTGCGCAGCGGAAGAGGGGTTGACTCGAGAGAACTGATTTGCACAAGATGATTCTCCCACCGATAGAAAGCATCCTAGCCTTCCACCCATCCATCATTATTAAAAATTACTATTTTTATTACAACGTCTAAGCGTGTCTAGGCGAGCTAGGAGATAGACAAATACCCAATGACCACCTTACGATTAACGTGTTGTTGAACCTCAATTATTATAGCAAACTTTGAGAGGATCTTATAAATTTGATCACTTCTATTTGGTATAATTGATTACATCCTGAAACTGATCAATCAAGGAGTCTTTCGATACGATTTTGATAAGATGTCCCGTACTACACAATTAGTATGACTAAATTGTAATAAGATAATCATGTATTGAATTTAGTTTGATAGCGCAAAAGATCGTACTAACTCAAGTAGAGTTTTAGCTACTCAGTACTTCATATTCACAGGTAGATAGCTACTTCAAAGAGTTCGAATATTGATTGAGTTTGTTGAACTTTACCTAACAAAACTATGATATCAATCGCAAGATATGATGCTTTTTCGAGAAATTGTGAGAATATGTTGAAGACATCAAACCTAACATTGGTACGGTTGAATTTAAGTAATAAGCAACATTCATAGTCAATAGATTATACATGAAAAATAAATATCATTCCCATAAGTTGGTTGGGAGCAGTGAATAATTAGAAATGGAAAGCTAGAAAATAGTTGATTTAACAAATAACTGCAAAAAAATATTGGAAAAAAGAAAAAAAATGCTTAGAGTGTAGGCCTACTATGCATGAGAGTGTTGCATTAAACCCTCAAACAGAAAGCAAGTAATCGTTAATAGTTGGCTGTGGATATTGAAATAGTTTACTAACCTGAATACTATATACTAGTGATTAATAATTGGACTTTAGCTTGAACATTGCATCATGTTGATAAAAATTATTTCATTAATTACAATGCTGAAATAAGGGGTTGTATATGAAAGTCTTGATTATTTTTTCAGATTTTTAAAATAAATACATTTTTCATAATACAATACAAATGTTTTTATTTTTGTTCATACACAATCGTGAATTATTTGCTTGCTTTGACTAAACTATCACTCAAATTGAATGATTAAACAAATTCGAATTTTAGCATAGATTGTCGAGATAATTGGTATCGGTGTTTGTCATGTTTATTTTCTTGAAATGTTTGGTACCAATGTTCTTATGTCGTCATTGAACACTTCAATTCAATGTGTAGTATTACAACCAACGATATTTGTGTTGACATTTTAAGATTATCCTACATTTATAAGTTAGAAAACATTCTAAATTAGTTATTAAAATATGTAAATAGAATTATCAAACACCACAAAATACTTACAGGAGACTTAGCGGGCTAACTAACTGTGATAGAAAAGTACTCTGTTTTTCATAATTTTAACTTCCTCTATGTTTTGTATTAATAAAGTACAACAAATGTGTCTAGTCTAATTGGTTAAAATTCTTGTCGTTGATGGAAGAGACCATGGTTCAAATCCTAGCATTGATATATATTTATATGAAATAAAAAATTGATTGTGTAGACGAAAATACTCTTCCTATTTTCACTCTCGTGGTAGAAAATTTGAAATGGAGCAAATCAAACTTTTAAAATGTATTATAAGTAGTAAATATATAAAGCAAGGTAGATATCACATAACTAAAAGTGTTACTACCAGTTTAGTAAATTTTAGCAGACAATGGGCCAGAGGCCCAAACAACCATACACAAACCAAAATAAATAAAGAAAACATGCTTAGTTGAGTTCGAAGCCCAACAAAACCAAGCTTAATGTATCAACATTAATGTTTTTATAAATTAATTAATAACATGTTTGTATATTTTTATGGGAGTCTAAATATTTTTGAAAACAACTTGAAAAAGTTAGGTGAAATGCATCTTTCATGTAGTTTTCCCTAATTATGTATTTTAAGACCGGACAAAACTCGTCAACCCCTAATAATTTGATCGGGTAATTGTGTTTAAATTTTCGATCGTCAAAAGTTCCATCGTATAAGAGTGGCAGATCGATTTGGACAAACCAATATAGGTAAAATGCTGATATATTTGTATGGACTTTGGTAATTTAGGTAGATCACTGCGATCTTGAGCTATCTACTTCCTAAATCACTCAGCTACACAATATCTATTTAGACCAAAGTTATGTGTGTTGGGCACTTTTAACTTCGAAGCTCTCATAAGGACTGCTCAATTTCACTCTAAAACGGGTCTTGTCAATTAAGATCGATTTCTTACTTATGAACCATCGATATCTCTCGTGCTTTGTGGTCTTACACTTTTTAACAATTTTGGTATTTTGCAAAAAACAAAAACATCCAAAAGTGAAAGGCGTGACAGAGAATTATTCTATGTTAACGTGGATAGACTAATTAATATGAAATATTGACGTGACTTAGCTCAAAATCCGAAAGTCTTTAAATATATTTCTAACGGAAGTCTTTAAATATTTTGAAAGACAACTTGAAACGGGAGGTGACATGCATCTTTCATCTAAGTCTTCACTAATTATGTATTTTAAGACTGGGCTAAACCCGTCAACCCTTAATCACCCTCCATGGTCAAGGAATATGAACACCTTATAAACTACGCCTCGAGTTAGTTCCTTCTTATTCATATCTGCCAAGCATCTCAGTTCCATTTCCTATCTTGAGAGATTCAATTGTGAGTTTGAGGATGGGATTCCCAAAGTATGTTTTGTTGAAGTCCATGTACAACAACAAGTACCTGCGCTGCATCGACGAAGCAGGGAAGCAGCAGGGGTTCCTGCAGTTCTCCGGCGACGATGCTGCGAGCCTCGATTCGAGGTTCGAAATCATCACAACATCCAGTGGACTCATTCACCTCAAGTGCTGTTCCAATAACAAGTACTGGCAGAGATCGTCGCCGAGCCAGTGGTGGATCCGGTGCGGCCCTGCTGCCAGCCCTGTAAAAACACAATCGAATTGGTCCTGTACGCTGTTCGAGCCCGTCCCTGTGGACGGTCTCGACGGGGTGTTCCGGTTTCGCCACGTCGAATTGAAGCAGTACGCCGGCTCGTTCAACAGCGGGCCACCTTTCGGCGACTGCTTGTACGCAGGATCCGAAGATCCCAACGAAGAGGACCTGCGCGACGTCTTCGTGGTCATCGACGCGTCGTCGTCGTCCAAGAAACCGCCTAGGAAAAATGTTACCACCACATTGCCGAGCTTTGTAGCAATCAAATCAAGGTACAATCACAAGTACGTGCGGTACAGGGGTGGTCACGGCGACGAACAAGAGGGTTTCCTCCAGGTTTCGGAGGAGAACCCTGCCGCAATTGGCGGGTATGCGAAATTCGAGGTGGTCAGGGCCAAGAACGATGGTGAATTGGTGCACCTGAAGTGCTGCTCCAACAGCAAATACTGGAGGAGTTCGTCCCAAGGTCGGTGGTGGGTTAGCGGGTCGGCTGCGAAACCGAAGGAGAATTCGTCCGACTGGGCGTGCACGCTGTTCAAGCCTGTCTATGTCGACGGTGGCGGCGGCGATGGTACGTCGGTCCGGCTCCTGCACGTTCAGCTTGGACGGTATGCTTGCTTGTTCAGGAGCGATTCGGCGTTCGGGGGCTGCTTGTACGCGGCTTCTGACGATCCTAGTCCGGACATGGCTGATGTGTTTACATTCGTCGATTGGGAGTCGTTCGAATCCAATGAAGAAGAAGAAGACTATGATGGTGGAGATTCAGGGGAAGAAGAAGAAAATGTTGTTCCGCCGAAACGACCACCGCCCTCCAGCAAAGGAAGCCATAGCAGCGGGAAGGGAACCTGGGAGGAGAAACAAACTAAGCCTGGCGGCCAAACTGACAGAAAACCAAAAACCCGTCCTCCTGGTGGGACTCCGTCCAATCGAGAAGGCTCTGATGGCGGAGATGCAGGGGAAGAAGAAAATGATGCTCCACCAAAAAGACCACCGTCCCCCAACAAAGGAAGCCAGAGCAACAAGAAGCGGTTCTGGGAGGAAAAACCGACTAAGCCTCGCCGCCAGCGCGAGAAAGAACAAAAAAAATCCGGCCCTCGTGGGGCTCGATCCGATCCGGTAGGCGAAACAGAGGATGGAGATCCCAAGGCCGTCTCAGACGGGGAAGATCGAGACGGTCCTACACCTCAAGAGAGGAGACGAGAAGACAAAGAAGTTCGCGGTGAATATGGATCGGATGGAGAGGATGGCAGGAGCAATCCGAACAGACAAAAGTGGAAAGAAGGTTCAGAGGCAGAGCAGAAGCAGGGGATTACCAAGGCGAAAGGGAGGTAATTAGTGTGCCACCCTGAAACAACTGAATAGAATCAATTTAATCTGATGATGATATGCTCTAACTGACTAACTCTTTTGCAGTTACGAAATGGAGTTTACCATGGTGCCTCCTGCAAATGAATTGTGGGGAGCTTTGTTTGCCTCCATGGAAACGATCCCCCCAGCTGTCCCCGATTGGTACTCTTCGATTAAAGAAGTTAAAGGCAATGGGTTCACTGAACACTCTATTCGCAAAATCGATTTCGTCAGAGGTAAACACGCTCGATCGATCGATCGATCTTCGATCGATCCATCATTCGGTCATACAGAGTATTTATCTGTTTTGGTTTCGTTATTAAGTTGTTACTCATGTTTGCTTCCACAGGCAAGGTGACACAATGGGGAAATTGGGAGGAGCAGATCTTGGCTGTGAATCACAAGAAGAAGCAGTTGAAGTTGTCCGTCGTTCGCGGCGGACCCCTGAATCAATGTCGCACCTTCAAGATCACTACGGCCGTCAAACCCTTACTCGAAGAAGAGCCCATGTACAATGGCTGCGTGGTGAAATGGAAGTGTGAATATACGAACTCAAGGGACTTGAATCTTAAAGCAATGCATATACTGGTTCTCGCCACCTTCAGGAATCTGGAACTCGAACTCCTCTCGTCGGCTTCCAGACAAAAACGTTGATTCCTACCAAGCAGCTGGCGTTTTTTCCTACCATTTTGATAATTTTTGGAAATTTAAATATGTGTACGTGTTCTTGTTTTCTAAAAACCTGTCTGTGGTCTATGTTTGAAGGGTATAAAAATAAATAACCCCCTTGTCGTGTTTGAAGGGGTTGTTTGATACGTGTGTATCTGAATGGTGTATTTAGTGAATAATGCATTCATTGTATACAATCTATTGTTTTTTTTTTTTTTGTTTTATAATTGAGATATTAGTTTCTGGCCAATTTTTTGAAATTGTGTATGTCTGTTTTTTTTTTTTAATTTTGTACCAATTTTCTTTTCATTGCTGTTCTTATCAACTCAATGCATGGTTGGGTTTTTAAACAATGGTAAATATTACCTTTCCTTTAGAATTTGACTTTCCTATTATGAAAAATATGGATATCACTTTGAGTTACATGTAACTCCTATTCCTATATTTGATAGTTTTTTTATGTTTCATTAATCATTATCTTTCATTGATATAAGGATGTAGTGGTTACCAAGGTGTGCCTATAAATAGAGCACACCATTGCATCAAAAGTGAAAAATGAATAAGAAAGTTATCTTCCCCCTTTCTTCTTTTGTGTTCCCCTCTAATCTTCTCTTGTAGTTGTTTATATTTTCCATTAGTTTCATAACACGTTATCAGCACGAAGCACTGCCAAATTATTATTGGTCGAAGACTCTCGACATAATCTAATGGATTGAGTTAAGATTTACAATATGATCAAGATTTTATTGTAGCCATTCCAAAATATTCCAATGGAGGCTACTTATTTCTCATAGTAGGCCATCCATAAATATTTGTACATAGTATGTCTATTTTCTATGAATATTTTGGATTTCAATTTTATTCATAGATATATTACCTTATTGTATATGTTAATTTTGTAAAATAAAGTTTGTGCATGTTGCACAATCATAAAATAAAAATTGCTCATGTAGTAGCACTAGCATAAAAAAAAGTTATTATCAATTATTAGTTGATTTCTGAATTCCTACATTGTATGTGTTGGGAAATGAAAGTTTCAATAATACATATTTTCCCAGAAGTGAAAAAATGGAGGAACAAAGTGGACATGGTAATACAATATTAAAAATAGACGTTACCATTGTGATAGAAAAGTTCATTGATCCGTACCAGTTGTACGCCAAAACAGATCTACCAAGAATGAGGAAAAGAAAATTCATATGTGCTCCTGTAGTAGCACTATTATGGAATAATTTTTGTACATTACAAACTATCTACTATCCTCTAAAGGTAGTGTATTTTTCAAAAATTTAATTAATTTGATCCAAAGAGGTTATCTCATTCACGAAAGTGAATGGAGCTATTTTATTTGTTCCATGAGAAGGTATTCTAGAAAGTGAGTGAAACAAATCATTCCCAAAAGTGAATGAAACACTTCATCACCAAAAGTGTTTGAAGTGATACACAAATTATATATATGTAAACTGTATTGTTTGAATTATTTTTTCTCACCGGAAGTGAGAAAGAGAAAATGAAAAAGAAGATATATTACACAAATGAGAATGTCAATCACGACTTTTCTAGTAGCGAAAGTCATGATAATATTCTGTACCTATCATACTTTGAAATGTGAAATAAAAAAAATAGTTTGAACATATAGATAATCATTAATGTAAATGATAAAATGAAACTCACCGGCCAACGGGCCGGGTAAAAAGCTAGTTTCATATTTATCGCTATTAAAATTGAACCGGATATCGATTTGGATTAATGAGAGGTTCAAGATATATCAGATAATCGTTGATTAATCGGTATTAAAAATCATTATTAAATGGTATTGAAAAATGTTCATAAACCTGTACTTGACTTCAAAAAATAAGAGAAAATTATAGAATAAGAATAAAAAAATCAAAACTCTAAGTGTTTGAACCTAACTGTGCGTAGGAGGGAGGTTCGGGAAAGGAAGTGGGTCAAGAAGAGTGAACAACAGAAAATCCACGGTATGGCGTAGAACAAAGAACCGGGAGGTTGAAAGAATCGGTCTTTTAGAGAGAGAAGTTGATGTTCTTAGAGATAGAATGCTAAAAATGCGATCCCCTCACCCACCGGAGTAAATGCCATATTTATAGGCTACATGGTGGTGGGTGAGTGGGTGGATTACATGATGGTATTTTGACCTTGACATGACCTTGACATGACCACTGACACGTCAGGGATTTAGGCCATGCCTCTACCTAGGACGTGTCAGAGGTGTACCTACGACCATCTCTCGGATCCCAACGTGGCCGGCCCTCGGGGATTGTGGGCGAGACTCCTCGTAGCCCTGTGGCTTAGTACTCGCTTGGCACTCTCAGTACGCGCGTGGCTTGTGACGCGCCCGGCTCTCCGCGCCTTGATGCTTCTCACCCGCGCGCAGCTTGTGAGGGGTTCAGGGTCTTCGCGCGTTGGTTCTTTCCATCCGCGCACATCCTCTAATATCTCACACGTTGTGCCGCGTCTCTGGCCTTCGTGCGCGCCTTATGTCGGCGCGCCTTACCTTGCGCGGCTAGGTCCGAGTCACATGCCCAACAATTGCCCCCCATCAGAGGGTGTTCTGTGAACGCCCTCTGTTTAGGTCTTTGCTTGATTGACTCGGGCCTGGGCGCGATTCCCGGGGCTTTTCGCGTGCGCCTTGCCATTCCGTAGCCGCGCGAGAGGTTCTGTTGTAGTTGCCTGCTTGAGCGAGATCTTTGGGGTCGGAACTCTGAATCGTGCGCACGATCTGTGAGGTTTTTCTCTTTCCACGAATCGTGCGCGCGATCTTTGTGAGATTTTTCTCTTTCCTCGAATCGTGCGCGCGATCTTTGTGAGATTTTTCTTTTTTCTCTTTCCTTGAATCGTGCGCACGATCTTTGTGAGATTTTTCTTTTTTCTCGCGGGTGTGCTATGCCCCCCAGGCGCCGTGCGGAACTAGTTCCGTCGGCGGCTAGTACCTACTTCGAATAGGTGTCCACGTGTCCTTACCTGGTTTGTCCATTTGGGCGGGCGAATTTTGAAATTCGAAACGTCTGACGGTTGCGATCTTCGAGGTTTCTTTAACCTTTTGACTTACCCCTAATAACTATAAGTTTCAACCCGTTGTGGGGGGTGGGATTCATTCTGCCTCATTCTTCACATCTGAGTCCTGCTCTTTCCCTCTCGTGCTCTGGTTTATCGCCGAGATTCCTCTCCTTCTTTTACAATCTTAAATCTTCGATCGTTGTTCTTCTCTGTTGCTTATTGCTATCATGGACAACACCAACACCAACGTCGGCGAGGTTGAGATCGTACAAGACGAAGAAGGTAATGTTTCCCCCCTTTCCCGTATTTCTTCTGATCCGTCGCTGGAATTGGCGAATTCCGGCGGCGAGTATGGCGGTGGGTCTGGTGACGGCGGAGCTCCGTCCATGCCGTCGGCCGGAGTCGACTCGGATCCTGATTTCGTCCTCGGAGAGACAGAGGTAGATGAAGATGCAGTTGTCTTCGGGGGCGAGGGGCCGAGCACGCAGCCCCGGGGCGTTCTGATAATCCTGCGCGACCGCGATGGGAGGTCCGGGGTCGCGGAGGGTGCTAGTACTGCAGACGTGGCCGAGCGCGAGGATTCTGACACTCAGTCAGCGCCGGTGATTGCAGAGCCTGTCAACGTGGTATGCATAACCGAGGGGATGAGCCATCTTGGCCCTTGTTACGTGGACGCGGCCTACACCGTCCTTGACTGGGCGGAGATGTGGGGCGACCAGCCGGCTCCGCACGACAACTTGTTGCGAGGACCCGACCACGGTTCAATTTACTCGCGCGAGGACGTAGAGGGCATCGTGCGCGGATTGGGTTTGCCTCCGCACTGGGAGTACGCGGTGCCCTCTATTCGGAGTATGTTTGGTAATTAACCCCCAGGGTGGTTTGGGGTGTACAGCGAGTACTGGGTGATGGGCTTCAAGTTTCCCATCGACCCATTATTGTGTGCCTTATACAGGCGGCTCAACTGCTCGGTTGGGCGCCTCTCTCCATCCATCATTATGCATGTCTCCTGCTTGCGCCTCGCTTGTAAACGGCTTAACATCCAGCCCACGTATGGGCTGTTCCGCAAGTTTTACAAGATCAAGGAGCCGAGCAAGACGAGCGACTGTTTGTCCATAAAGCGGCGCGACAACAGGCCTGATGGGTTCGTGTACGGCTCTCCCAAACTGAAGAAGACGTGGTTTGAGCGCTTCTTCTACGTCAAGCCGGTGCCGGGGGAGTGGGCGAGTGAGCACGTGGATGAGCCCACTGTGTGGAAGAAGGGTAGTACCCTTAAGTTTGAGTCCCGCGTTGGCGCGTATGATGGGCTTGACAAAGAGTATCAAGCGTGTTTGAATCAGAAGATGAATCTCTACACGCGCGGAGTTCGCGAGGCCGTCTTGCAAGAGCTTTTTGCTGATGGTTAGTTATTTTCCTTTCCCTTTGTATTCTGTCATATTTAACCGGTTTCTTACGATATTTTGGTGCAGGTGTCGATTTCGCCGACCTCGCGAGCATGATGTCGGTGGATAACGTTGCGAAGGCGCCCCGCGCCTCGCGTAAGGGGAAGAAGAAGCAGAAGGAGGGAGCGCAGAGTAGCAACGCGCCGGCTGCCAGCACAAAGAGGCGGGATCGGGGGCAGCCCATCAGTGCCCCCGTGGGTGGCGGGAAGAGGAAGGAGTCGGCGTCAGAGAGGGAGCAGGGTGATGGGAACCCGAAGAAGACTGCGCGGGTTGTGGAGCCGCAGGAACGAGAGGTTCCCGTGCAGGAGGCACGCCAGCAGCCTCTGGTCATTGTCGATCCCGAGGCACGGGTGGGTAACTCCCCCCACCCGGAAAGGCTGGTGACTCCTAGCACCTCTGGAGCCACTGCGCAGCGGAAGATTTCCGATATGTTAGGCGTTCCGGGTGTTGACTATTACCGCGACGTGCGGCTGCACACTGGCGCGGCGTGTAACAGTCAAACGGCGCAGGCTGCTCTGCGGGCGGTTGGCCCTGTGCTTAGCATTCCCCCCCGGTTCGAGAAGTCGGATCCGCTTATGGATCTGGCTCAAATCCATTGGGCGGTAAGTATATTCCGTTTTGGCGCACAATCCTCTTTTTTTTTTTTTTGCTAAGTTGTAAA